TAACCCTACATGTGAATGCACACACACACACACACACACACACACACACTCGCTGGCTTCACGTATAAGCGAGTTCCAGCACCCGGAGCATTACTGTAGATAATCTGATTTCACAGAGGCGCTGAGCACACTGCCTGCGGGACACGTCTGCTGTAGTGGAGGCAGAATCAGCCATCACGCTCTTCAGCTGAGGATCAATCGGCCCTTAATTAACCTGCATCTCAATACATACAGTAACACACACACACACACACACACTCTATAGTTTGTTGTATGATATATTGCACCAAAATACATCGCAATATACAACATTACTGCCAGTCGAAGAGCATTTTATACCACTTATATGATGCCAGAATGACAATATAATATAATAATGCATGCAAAGAACACATCACATTATTCTGAAGATTATTTCATTTAATTCTGGTCACTTTAACAGTTTAATAATCAGGCATTGGAGTCAGAAGGAGGAAACGCATGTCCTAAATAAATAATACTACATGTTAGCAATACAGTGCAAGGTAAAGAGGAGCAGAGGCTGCGATATCTGCTGCCAGATCAGTCATCAGACATGAAAATACACTATAGTCATTTATAATAAATGCTACAGTGTTTAACCATACTGACACTGACGTCTCCAACAGAGATGGAGATGATGCACAATCGGCTCAATGTGGGTGATGTTCACTCAGCGGCCACTTTATTAGGTACAGCTGTCCAGCTGTTTGTTAATGCAAATGTCTAATCAGCCAATCACATGGCAGCTGCATTTCGGCATGTAGACATGATCAAGACGATCTGCTGCAGGTCAAAGCGAGCATCAGAATGGGGAAGAAAGGGGATTTAAGAGACTTTGAATGTGGCATGGTTGTTGCTGCCAGACGGGCTGCTCTGAGTATTTCAGAAACTGCTGATCTACTGGGATTTCCACGCACGACCATCTCTAGGGTTTACAGAGAATGCTCTGACAAAGAGGAAATATCCAGTAAGCGGCAGTTCTGTGGGCTTGTGGATGCCAGAGGTCAGAGGAGAATGGCCAGACTGGTTCCAGCTGATAGAAAGGCAACAGTAACTCAAATAAGCACTCGTTACAACCGAGCTCTGCAGAAGAGCATCTCTGAACACACAACACGTCCAACCTTGAGGCGGATGGGCTACAGCAGCAGAAGAGCACACCGGGTGCCGCTCCTGTCAGCTAAGAACAGGAAACTGAGGCTACAATTCACACAGACTCACCAAAACTGGACAATAGAAGATTGGAGAAACGTTGCTGCTCTGATGAGTCTCCATTTCTGCTGACACATTCAGATGCTCGGCTCACAATTTGGCCTCAACAGCATGAAAGCATGGATCATCCTGCCTTGTATCAGCGGTTCAGGCTGGTGGTGGTGGTGTAATGGTGTGGGGGAGATTTTCTTTGGGTCCATTAGTACCAATTGAGCATCAACGCCACAGCCTACCTGAGTATTGCTGCTGACCATGTCCATCCCTTTATGAGCACAGTGTCTCCATCTTCTGATGGCTACTTCCAGCAGGATAACGCAGCATGTCATAAAGCTCAATCATCTCAGACTGGTGAACATGACGATGAGTTCACTGTACTCAAATGTCCTCCACAGTCACCAGAGCTCAATCCAATAGAGCAGCTTTGGGATGTGGTGGAACGGGAGATTGGCATCATGGATGTGCAGCCGACAAATCTGCAGCAACTGTGTGATGCTATCATGACAATATGGAGCAAAATCTCTGAGGAATATTTCCAGGAGCTTGTTGAATCTCTGCCATGAAGGATTAAGGCAGATCTGAAGGCAAAAGTGCGGCCAACCCGGTACTAGGAAGGTGTACCTAATAAAGTGGCCGGTGAGTCTATACATACTTTATATAGACCATCATTATTTTTGACCCATATACATATATATTTAAGGATCTTACATTTCTTACAATTAAAATATATAATTAACAAGCATCTAGAAACTGCAATAAGTACTGATAAAGTGGTTTGAGCTGAATTAATTACAGAGAAGAGAAAACACAAAGAGCAAAGTCAACACAGTGCCCTAAAAACACAGTGTGCACAATCTAAACACATGTTTGAAGCCAAATGTGTATATTGTATTAATGTGCTGAGTTTTTAAGGGCGGAAATGTTTTATTGATCAAAGAGGAAGATGCAAAAGGGAATATTTTACTCGGCATCATTTGCTCAATTTGTTGGAGAGTGTGAGCGAACATGCTAACTACAGTAACCCTCCCATCAGGGGTGCCAACTCCAGCTTCAGGCTTATTTACAGACGCTTCACTAATACGTTTTCAGTGTTTTCTGTCTGGTTTAACAGAAATGTATTGCCGGCCAAAGATTAATCACATCCAAAATATAAGTTTGTTTTCACGATAAAAGTCAACATTATTCACCCTCCTGTAATTATTTTTTTTTTATATTTCCCAAATGATGTTGAACAGATTCAGGAATTTCTCACAGTATTTCCTATTATATTTCTTTCTTCTGGAGAAAGTCTTATTTGTTTTATTTGGGCTAGAATAAAAGCAGTTTTTAATTGTTTTAAAGTCATTTTAAGGTCAATATTATTACCCTTTTAAGCAATATTAGTGTTGGATTGTCTCCAGAGCAAACCACTGTTATACAATGACTTGCCTAATTACCCTAACTTTACCCTAATTACCCTAGTGAAGCCTTTACATGTCACTTTAAGCTGAACACTAGTGTCTTGAAGAATATCTAGTCTAATATTATGTGCTGTCATCATGGCAAAGAGAAAAGAAATCAGATGTTTGAAATGAGTTATTAAAAATATTATGATTAGAAATCTTCTCCCTATTAAACAGAAATTGGGGGGAAAAGTACACTGAATAAAGTGTTGCATGCAGAATCGTTGCAAACAATTTATTTGTGTTGAATTTAAACAAAAAAATAAGTTTAATAATGTTCAACTTAATTTGTTTCTTTAAATTCAACACAAATAAATTGTTTACAATCACTTAACTTAAAATTTTTTTTTGAGTAAATCCAAGCAGTCATCTCTGAATAATTTGTGTTCAGTGTAAAGGAGGGCTTATAAATCTGACTTCAGCTGTATGTGTTCTGTGTATATGTAATTTCTGTTGAACAATAAATAGTTTGAGCATCGATATTGCAATGTGTGCATCTCCAATAGTCACATTACTGGATTAGGTTATTTATTAAAGATTAAAAGAGGAAGATATTATTATTAAAAAATATTCAAATATTTATACAATGATAAACATGATCTTTTAAATGTGATTGTTCAATTTCTGCTTGACAGAAAGCACTGTTTGGTTATTTATTTATTTATGTTTTTGCTTATTAGTTATACTTTATGCAGATACACTGCATAGAATACTAAATTAATGAAATATTTATAAATAGAGCAATTTAAATCATCTGGTGAAATTTTATATGCATATCGCAATACAGGCAGCACACTGGCTCAGTGGTTAGCATAATTAATGAGCACAATCCATGATAAATAAGGGACTAAGCCGAAAGAAAATGAATGAATGAATATCACAATATATATTGCAGCAAAACTAAATATCGCAATGTCATTTTTTAATATCGTGAAGCTCTGGTGTATTTCAATACATTAATGCATATTTTTGAGAAAATATTTATTTATTTTTATATATTAAATATACAGTCAAGCCTAAAATTGTTTCCCTTCGCAAATTCTGATTCTGAATAAATATTTTTACACAAACACACACACACACACACACACACACACACACACACACACACACACATACAGTTAAAGTCAGAATTATTAGCCCCCTTTTAAATTTTTTTTCTTTAAATATTTCCTAAATGATGTTTAACAGAGCAAGGAAATTTTCACAGTATGTCCGATAATATTTTTTCTTCTAGAGAAAGTCTTATTTATTTTAGTTTGGCTAGAATAAAAGCAGTTTCAAATTTTTAAAACACCATTTTAAGGTCAATACTATTAGCCCGTTTAAGCTGTTTTTTTATTTTCAATAGTCTACAGAACAAACCATCATTAGACAAGAACTTTGCCTTATTAACCTAATTAACCTAGTGTAGCCTTTAAATGTCACTTTAAGCTGTATAGAAGTGTCTTGAAGAATATCTAGTCTAATATTATTTACTGTCATCATGGCAAAGAGAAAATAAATCAGTAATTAGAGATGAGTTATTAACACTATTATGATTAGAAATGTGTTAAAATAATCTGCTCTCTGTTACACAGAAATTAAGGACAAAAATAAACAGGGGGGTGAATAATTCTGACTTCAACTGTAAATTAAATATATGATATGATAGACAACATTTGAAACAAGCAAAGGGAGTGTAAATATTGACAGATTTATCATGCGCTTGTGCGCCGTCTCTTTAAGTAGAATCTCATCATTAAATCATTTGTGTGCTAAATATGCCAGACAACATTTTTGTCCCATAAACTAAACTAAATGTAGTAAATAAACTGAGAGGATTCATCTCTACACAGCCCACATATCATACATATTATTGATGCATTTATAAATAATGATATTTTTTTAGAGGAAGCAAGCATCACTAACCTTAGGCTTGATGGTAATGGTATAATGCCATCCTTACAAACATGTTAGAATAAGCTTTATAACATATATTGGGAGAATGTAGGACTATAAGAATGAAGGGATATAAATAAATGGAAGAAAAAGACGCATGAAAGAGATATAATCACTCATAGATTCAAAATAATAAGACATTTTCTTTAAAAACAAGCCTGCTTCATGAGGATGCCGTCTTTATAATCACGTTTGCTGTTTAGTACGGCGTCTAAAACGTGTATCAGGAGAATGTAGGATCTGTGGCCATAAATAAAATGGAGGGCTATGAATAAACGGACATGAAAGAGATAGAATTACAGTGTGAATCTCGCTACTGTCTCTTTAAAGCTCGCGGTCCCTCCCCACCCCAGCATCACAGAGCCGTCTCCGCGAGCAGCCAAAGCCTGTCCATAAACTCCAGCCTCTTCCTCCCTCCATCTGGCAGAAAGAGAGAGAGAGAAAAAAAAGAGAGAGACGGGTGTGTGTGTGTGTGTTTCCACAGGGTCTCGAATCAGCAGCATCTCTCTCTCAGTCAGAGTCTGTCGTCACGGCGACAGGAGGTGTCTGTTCCACAGCAGCATCACCGGAGAGCTGGAATCGGAAGCTGGTGGTCGCCGCAGCAACAAGAGCATCCTCAGGATTCCAAGGCTGCCGATCGGGAATGAAAGAGTAGTGGGAGCGATGTCTGATTGTCCTGCTTCCGCCGCCGCTTCACTTTCTCTCTGAAGGACAGCTCTGAATGAACCCTCCTTCTGACTGTGGGCGAGTGTGACTGCGTGGACAGAGAAAAGGGAAGACATTAAAGAGTGTGTGTGTGTGTGGTGATTGGGAGGAAGACGGTGTGCGTGTGTGTGACTGACGCGGCAACAAAACGAGGCAGGATGATCTAAAGCCGAGAACTGAATTCCCATTGATTCCCCGGGAGGAAAGGAAAGGCAAACCTGCACGCACTTTTCAGAGAGTGTGTGAGAGACCGCTGTGTGTGAAGTGTGTGTTTCCAGCGGCCGTTGGATTTTTGGTGTGTATCTGTTCTCTTCTCCGTCTCTCTCTCTCTGTGTGCTGTAATTGATTTGATGTGGTAAACTGGAGCTTGATTGTGAAGATGATGTGTGTGTGAAGTCGAGGGAGATGCAAACAGAAATGATGTTAGCAGGTGAATCGCTGTCCTTCATGTCTTCCAGGTGAACGATTGACAATTGGGGCTAGTTTTAGTCTCGTCCTGGAGATTTAGGAACGTGGAGCTCATCGGATGACTTTTGGAGAACTCAATCTCATCCTGGGTTCTGCAGAGCGTCACAGGGATGTAGATTGAGATCCCTCACTAATGAAATGGGTGTGAAATGTGTCTCTGACCTGATGGAGAGGATACGGCGTTCTGTCTGACACCCCGCGGGGGGTTACGTGTGAAACGTTCATCACAACACTTATCGTAAGTGTAGTTGCGGCTTTGCCAGCCGCTCTGACAGCATTAGTCGGTTGCCTTGGTTGATCATTTCAGACATGCACAAATGTGCAAGGACAAACACACACACACACACATGCACACACACGTGTGTGTTCGCACATTAAAGGGATCGTTCACACTGAAATGACAGCACATACTCAGACTTGAGAGATTTTCTGATGAACACACATGATGATATTTGGAATTCTGTGTGTTCTTCCTACATTGGGAGTCAGCTTTCTCCTGAAAATGTCAGTATTTGGTGAATAAATGTTCATTTTTTAATGAACTATCCCTTTAAATCGGTGATGCAGTAGATAGTGCTGTCACCTTTCAGCAAGAAGGTCGCTGGTTCGAGCCTTGGCTAGGCATTTCTATGTGGAGTTTGCATGTTCTCCCCATGTTCGTGTTGGTTTCTTCCGGGTGCTCCGGATTCCCCGAGAATATGTGGTGAATTCATTCATTCATTATCTTGTCGGCTTATTAATCCAGGGTCGCCACAGCGGAATGAACCGCCAACTTATCCAGCAACCCATCTCTGGGAAACATCCACACACACATTCACACACACACACAATTTAGCCTATCCAACTCACCTGTGCCACATGTCTTTGGACTGTGGGGGAAACGCCAACTGAGTCAAGGTTCGAACCAGCGACCTTCTTGCTGTGAGGCGACAGCACTACCTACTGCGCCACTGCATCGCCCATGTGGTGAATTGTCCGTAGTGTATGTGTGTGGTTGAGTGTGTATGGATGTTTCCCAGTGATGGGTTGCAGCTGGAAGGTCATCCGCTGTGTGAAACATATGCTGGAATAGTTGGCGGTTCATTCCACTGTGGCGACCCCAGATTAATAAAGAGACTAAGCTGACAAGAAAATGAATGAATGAATTCATAAAATAAACAATAAGGCTTATTAATCCAGGGTTGCCACAGCGGAATGAACCGCCAACTTATCCTGCAAGTTTTTACGCAACCCATCTCTGGGAAACATCCACACACACATTCACACACACACACTCATACACTACGGACAATTTAGCCTACCCAATTCACCTGTGCCACATGTCTTTGGACTGTGGGGGAAACGCCAACTGAGTCGAGGTTCGAACCAGCGACCTTCTTGCTGTGAGGCGACAGCACTACCTACTGCGCCACTGCATCGCCCATGTGGTGAATTGGATAAGCTGAATTTTCCGTAGTGTATGTGTGTGGTTGAGTGTGTATGGATGTTTCCCAGTGATGGGTTGCAGCTGGAAGGGCATCCGCTGTGTGAAACATATGCTGGAATAGTTAGCGGTTCATTCCACTGTGGCGACCCCAGATTAATAAAGGGACTAAGCTGACAAGAAAATGAATGAATGAATTCATGAAATAAACAATAAGGCTTATTAATCCAGGGTCGCCACAGCGGAATGAACCGCCAACTTATCCTGCAAGTTTTTACGCAACCCATCTCTGGGAAACATCCACACACACATTCACACACACACACAATTTAGCCTGCCCAACTCACCTGTGCCACATGTCTTTGGGCTGTGGGGGAAACGCCTACTTAGTCGAGGTTCGAACCAGCGACCTTCTTGCTGTGAGGCGACAGCACTACCTACTGCGCCACTGCATCGCCCATGTGGTGAATTGTCCGTAGTGTATGTGTGTGGTTGAGTGTGTATGGGTGTTTCCTAGTGATAGGTTGCAGCTGGAAGGGCATCCGCTGTGTGAAACATATGCTGGAATAGTTGGCGGTTCATTCCACTGTGGCGACCCCAGATTAATAAAGGGACTAAGCTGAAAATGAATGAATGAATATCCCTTTAAATGAAAGCACACACTGTTTTTGTGATGGCGCTAACATGCTCCTCTCCTCTTTTCTATTTTACAGAAAGAGTTCAAGGACGAGTGGAATATGTGACCTTTTCTTCTCCGCTTTTTTTGGAATCCAAAGGACTAAATATATCGTATTTTATTTTTAAAGCAACACTAATCAGTCATCCTATGACTCCAAGGCAGCTTCGGGGAGTTTCCTTCTTTCCTCCATGCATTGGATTTTTATGAAAGCCCATTCTCACATCATGAGGATCATCTTCTGACACTCATCATGCCTTCGCACGACCGAGGAGTTCTCCATCAGAGACGGCAGTGTTAATCAATGCAAACGCATCTCTAAAGCCCCCCGACAAACATGCATCAGTGAAACTCGCCCATTTCAGTGGAGTTTGGTGTGTATTTGGATCTAATGACTCCAGCATCTTCCGTTCCCTCTGCGTCTGGAGCTCCGAAATGCCCCCAAATACACAGCAAGAAGAGGCTTGACCCCAGACCCAGGCGTGTTTTAAGATGTTGAAGCCTTCCCGCGCGGCCCGAGCCCCAGATCGGATCAGTAGCACTGCGGCTCCCGGAGGCCCCAGACATGGATGGTGGCTCGGCCCGGCCCTGCCCTCAGCGCTCCGCACCCCGGCCCGTGAGCAGCTTTTGAAGGATGTCCCAGAGCCGAGCTCCAGCCCGGGAACCCTCTGAGACCCCCAGTCAGAGAGAGCAGATCCGCAGCCACATGAAGATGGTGATCCAGCAGCTGGAAGGAATCCTCAAAGAGCTGAAAGATGTGGCACATGAACTGCGGGAGGTAAGACTCGAGGGTTATTGCTGGATGTCTTATTTTTTGCTGTGATTTTGAGACTAAATGTGCTGGTTTGAAGAGTGTGTGCAGTTGGTTGCTAGTATAGTTTGATCGCCACTCTGCTCTGTTGGTTATGTAAAGGTTGTGTGAGGTAAGACTTGTTTTTTGCTGGATTTTTGGTGCGCTGTTGAGGAAAATGAGCTTATTTATAGATAATAGTTAGCATATAGTTTGATTATCTGTCTGTTATGTTACTTATTTAATGGTTGTGGGAGGTAAGACTCACTTTTTGCTGATTTTTGGTGCGCTGTTGAGGCAAAATGTGCTGGTTTAGCGCTCTGGTGTGTTAATTATGTGTAGATTCTGGGGGTAAGACTCACATTTTGCTTGTTTATTGGTGTGAAATGTTCTGGATGTTCAATACACTTAAATGTGTGAAGGTAACTTAATCAAACTGTGTGAAATCCTGCATTTTCTACAGTGTACAGTATGTTACCGTTCCATTGTATGCATATGTATGTATAGGGAGGTTAGACTGTTTGATATTTGGTGCTCCGTTTAGGCAGAATGTGCTGATTTACAGTTAATAGTTAGTCTAGTTTGATTACCGCTTCTTATGTTACTTATGTAAAGGTTGTAGGAGGTTAGATTCACTTTTTTGCCTGATTTTGGGTGCAAAATATGCTGGTTTACGGTGCATGTGTAGTCAGTAGAGGGTATTGTTATATTACCGCTCCTGTATGTTATTTATTTTGGTTGTGGAAGGTAAGACTTTGCTTTTTGCTTGTTTTTTGGTTCTCCGATGAGGCAAAATGTGCTGATTTATAGTTAATAGTTAGTCTAGTTTGATTGTATGAAGTTAGATTCACTTTTTTGCCTGATTTTGGGTGCAAAATATGCTGGTTTATGGTGCATATATATTCATTTTCTTGTCGGCTTAGTCCCTTTATTAATCTGGGTCGCCACAGCGGAATGAACCGCCAACTTATCCAGCACATTTAATTTTTTTTACGCAGCGAATGCCCTTCCAGCCACAACCCGTCTCTGGGAATGGTTAATCTATAGTCAGTAGTTAGTATTGTTATTTTACCACTTCAGTATGTTCGGTACATAAAGGTTGTGTGAGGTAAGACTTGCTTTTTGCTGGATTTTTGGTGCGCTGTTAAGGAAAATGAGCTTGTTTATATAGATAATAGTTAGTATATAGTTTGATTACCGCTTCATTATGTTACTTCTTTGTCGATTGTGGGAGGTAAGGCTTACTATTTTGCCTGATTTTTGGTGCAAAATATGCTGGTTTACGGTGCATGTGTAGTCAGTAGAGGGTATTGTTATATTACCGCTCCTGTATGTTATTTATATAGGTTGTGGAAGTAAGACTTTGCTTTTTGCTTGATTTTTGGTTCTCCGTTGAGGCAAAATGTGCTGATTTATAATTAATAGTTAGTCTAGTTTTGATTACCGCTCCATTATGTAACTTATTTATAGGTTGTGTGAGGTAAGACTCACTTTTTTGCTTGATTTTTGGTGCAAAATATGTTGATTTATGGTTCATATATAGTCAGTAGTTAGTTTAGTTATTTTACCACTTCATTATGTCACTTATTTATAGGTTGTGTGAGGTAAGACTTGCTTTTTGCTTGATTTTAGGTGCTCTGTTAAAGCAGAATGTGCTGATTTATGGTTAATTAGTGAGTATAGTTTTCATCTCTGATGTATGTTACATTTTTGCTTTTTTGGTATGTTGCTTTTTTGCTTGATTGTCGATGCTCTGTTGAGGCAAAATGTGCTGGTTTAGTTCATGTATATTTAGAATTGTTATATTTGTTCATTATGTGTAGGTTGTGGGATGTAAATTTCACTTTTTGCTTGATTTTTGGTGCTCCGTTAAAGCAAAACATGCTGATTCATAGTTAATAAATAATGTAGTTTTGATTACGGCTCTAGTATGTTGGTTTTTTGTATTTTGTGGAAGGTTAGACTCACTTTTTTGCCTGGTTTTTGGTGCAAAATACACTGATTTATACTACATGAATAGTTATTTTACCACTTCAATATGTTTGTTAGATATAGGTTGTGTGAGATACGCTGGATGTTCAATACACTTAAATGTGTGAAGGTAACTTAAACTGTGTGAAACCCTGCATTTTCTTCAGTGTACAGTATGTTACCGCTCCATTGTATGCATATGTATGTATAGGGAGGTTAAACTGCTTGATATTTGGTGGATCAGGCTGGCATTTCTTACACTGTATATTACCACTCCACTATGCATAGGTTGTGGGAAGTAAGACTCATTTTTTACTAGATTGTTTTATGTGCAACGTGTGCTGGATCTTCAATTATCTTAAATGTGTTAAGTTAACTTAAACCCTGCATTTCTTACACTGTATATTACCACTCCACTATGCATAGGTTGTGGGAGGTAAGACTTTATTTTTGCTTGATATTCAGTGCTCTGTTAAGGCAACATATGCTGATTGATAGTTATTAGTAAAGTTTGATTACCGCTTCATTGTGTTATTTATTTATAGTTTGTTGGGGTAAAACTCTGTGTTTTTGCTTGATTTTTGGGGTGATGTGTGCTGGATTATAGTTCATGTATAGTTAGTCATTAGTATAGTTATTTTTCTGCTCTGGTACATTAGTTATGTATAGATTGTGGATGGTAACGCTTGATTTTTGCTTGATGTTTGGTGTTCTGAGGCTAAATGTGCTGGTTTAGTGCATGTATAGTCATATTATTGCTCTGGTTTGTTTATTATGTGTAGATTCTGGGGGGTAAGACCCACATTTAGCTTGTTTCTTGGTGTGAAATGTGCTGGATGTTCAATACACTTAAATTCGTGAAGTTAACCTAATTAAATTGTCTGGAACCCTGCATTTCGTACAGCATATATTACTGCTCGAGTATGTATAAGTTGTGGAAGGTAAGACTTTGTTTTCGTTGGTATTTTGGTGCGCTGTTGTGGCAAAATGTGCTGGTTTAGTGCATGTATAGTTACATTACAGCTCTGGTTGGTTCATTATGTGTAGATTGTGGGAAGTAGGACTCATTTTTTACTAGATTTTTTTTTGTGCAACGTGTGCTGAGCGTTCAATTCTCTTAAATTAGCTTAATTGACTTAAAGCCTGCATTTCCAACACAATCTCACGGCAAGTCGTAACTTTTTTGCTTTGGTGGCTTATTCCTATGAATTTGCATGATCTAATTCGTACCATTTAGTACGATTTGCTCATCCCCCAATGACGGTTGGGTTTAGGGGTGGGGTTAGGTGCCACGCCTCCTTTTTAAAATCGTACAATTTCGTATGACTGAACTCGTACAAATTACCCACTAAACTGGCAAAACGTAAAACACTTGCTTTTCTCGTGAGATCAGGCTGGCATTTCTTACACTGTATATTACCACTCCACTATGCATAGGTTGTGGGAAGTAAGACTCATTTTTTACTAGATTGTTTTATGTGCAACGTGTGCTGGATCTTCAATTCTCTTAAATGTGTTAAGTTAACTTAAACCCTCCATTTCTTACAGTGTATAATACCACTCCACACTGAAAAAAATTATTCAAAGATGATTCCTTGGATTTACTCAATTTCTTTATGTTAAGAGGTGGTAAACAATTTATTTGGGCTGAATTTAAACAAACAAATTAAGTTGAACATTACTAAACTTAATTTGTTTGTTTAAATTCAACACAAACAAATTGTTTGCAACAGTTATGCATGCAACACTTTTATAGGTTGTGGGAGGTAAGACTTTGTTTTTGCTTGATATTTAGTGCTCTGTTGAGGCAACATATGCTGATTGATAGTTATTAGTATAGTTTGATCACCGCTTCAATATGTTACTTATTTATAGTTTGTTGGGGTAAGACTGCCTTTTTAGCCTTATTTTTGGGGTGATGTGTGCTGGTTTTGTAGTTCATGTATAGTTAGTCATGAGTATAGGTATTTTACTGCTCTGGTACATTAGTTATGCATAGATTGTGGAAGGTAACACTTGATTTTTGCTTGATGTTTGGTGTTCTGAGGCTAAATGTGCTGGTTTAGTGCTTGTATAGTTAGTATTAATATAACTGCTCTGGTTTGTTTATTATCTGTAGATTCTGGGGGGTAAGACCCACATTTTGCTTGATTTCTAGTGTGAAATGTGCTGGATGTTCAATCCACTTAAATCTGTGAAGTTAACCTAATTATATTGTCTGAAACCCTGCATTTCTTACAGCGTACAGTTGAAGTCAGAATTATTAGCGCCCCTGTTTATTTTTTTCCCCAATTTCTGTTCTGTTCTGGGAAGATTGTTTCAGCACATTTCTAAGCATAATAGTTTTAAAAACCTATTTCTAATAACTGATTTATTTTATCTTTGCCATGATGACAGTAAATAATATTTTACTAGATATTCTTCAAGACACTTCTGTACAGCTTAAAGTGACATTAAAAGGCTTAACTAGGTTAATAAGGGTAACTAGGCAGGTTAGGGTAATTAGGCAAGTTATTGTATAATGATGGTTTGTTCTGTAGACTATCGGGGGGGAAAAATTGCTTAAAGGGGCTAATAATTTTGTCCCAAAAATGGTTTAAAAAAAATTAATAACAGCTTTTATTCTAGCCGAAATAAAACAAATAAGACTTTCTCCAGAACAAAAAATATTATCAGACATACTGTAAAAATTTCATTGCTCTGTTAAACATCATTTGGGAAATATTTAAAAAGGAAAATAAAAATCAAAAGGGTGCTAATAATTCTGACTTCAACTGCATATAACCGCTTGAGTATAGGTTGTGTGAGGTAAGACTTCCTTTTCGTTGGTATTTTGGTGCGCTGTTGTGTGCTGGATTATAGTATATGAATAGTTGGAGGTTAGTACAGTTATATTAGCATTGCTTTATGTTAGTTATGTATATAAGACTCACTTTTTTGCTTGATTTCTGGTTCGCTGTACATTATTTCTAGGCCTCCTGGAATATATATCAACTAGTGATCCCGACTGTAAGTAT